GACACAAATTAGAACCGTAACTATCAAAAATAATACAATAAATTAGTATTAGCGACTGGATTCGTAGTTAAAATTTAGCTTAATTCTCTGGATGAGAAACCTTAATGACATTTGTATAAAACAATAATCGTATTCATTATCATTAAATCGCTTTGTGACTGAATGATGTGATGTGGCCTTTGTATGTATTAAAATTATGAAACATTATAATGTGTGTGCTTGTTGCATTAGTCAAAGTAATCATTATGTCGTCTAAATAAACTAGTAATATAGTCGATGCTTCCACAAATTTATTTATGATAGCCGTTAAAGTATTAAAATGCCTTAATCAACCATTTGTGTAAAATATCGAATGGATACGCAGCTTTGCGATCGCTAGACAGTTGACACATTGTCGCTTCTGCAAAATAGCTCTCGCCAATATGTACTTGGCAGTAACCTTAAGCGAGGTCGATAGTAGTAGTAAGTTTTTATCGACAGTTTATATTATTGAATCATGTTGAACAGGTTTTTATATAATGACATCCTGCGCGTTCTTAAGTTTGTTAGATGTGGTGAGCCAGTTGTCCTTATAGGTACAAAAGGTTGTTAATTTTATCGATTTTCTTTCGTATGTAAGATTTTTTTATTTATTTATATTTTAAAGATTGGGATCAATGAGTTGAATTTGAGTTTAAAACTTTATTTTCTTAAAAAAATAAACGTAAATATAATGAAAAAAAGAGGCTTTCGTCATGACACGAAGCGCAACGAACGACTGAAAATGAAATTCCGAATATTTAAATTTAAGTTTATTTCGAAAAATCAAAATATTAATAATGATTTATATGTATTGTATGTATTTATTTCGCTTAGACATTTTTTTTTTGTCAAATATGTATGTATTGTTATATTTTATTTATGTTAAGTGCCATAATTTAATGAATTAACAATCGATAAAATATTGTAATGCATAATCATGTACACCAATTGAAATATATTATATCAAAATATGGTTGTTTCATTTTTACTCCAACGGTACTAATGGAAATAGTACTTATTTATTTATTTATTTAAATAAGTACTGCCACATCACAAACATCTAACATTGAAAATAAATTTAAACTATTAAATTTTTTTTTATTTTTTTATTGCTTAGGTGGGTGAACGAGCTCACAGCCCACCTGGTGTTAAGTGGTTACTGGAGCCCATAGACAACTACAACGTAAATGCGCCACCCACCTTGAGATATAAGTTCTAAGGTCTCAGTATAGTTACAACGGCTACCCCACCCTTCAAACCGAAACGCATTACTGCTTCACGGCAGAAATAGGCAGGGCGGTGGTACCTACCCGTGCGGACTCACAATAGGTCCTACCACCAGTGATTACGCAAATTATAATTTTGCGGGTTTGATTTTTATTACACGATGTTATTCCTTCACCGTGGAAGTCAATCGTGAACATTTGTTAAGTACGTATTTCATTCGAAAAATTGGTACCCGCCTGCGGGATTCGAACACCGGTGCATCGCAACAACGAATGCACCGGACGTCTTATCCTTTAGGCCACGACGACTTCTTTTTTATGGCCTGATGCATGTGACAACAATGGCGTACATAGCATTGGCAATTCATCGGCTCGAAAGTGGAATACAATAATAATAATTAAAAAAAACAGTACTATTAGTTGAAATATGAATAAAAATGTCTAAAAATGTCATGTCATATCAAAAAGAAGAAAAGAAGAAATGTTAATACAATGTCAAGCAACAACAACAAATGATTAACGTTTAAAGTTAAGGTGCGTTTTTTCTTTCTTTTCCTATTTTGTCCTTAAATACACGCAACTTATCGTGGAACACATCAAGATCGGGCATTACTGTGATAAGGGAATGATACTCATCAATTATTCTACGGAGAGATGTCTGCCGTCCCAAATTACTAAAAAGGTTATATTATTTTATAATTTTAATAAAGATTTTAATTTCTTAATTTTCATTAATAATCATAGAATCGCATAGTAAAACCAATTTAATTAATATTAAAAAGTAATTAACATTTTTTTTCTTTCTTTTTTTGAACTAGGAATCTTTGGAAAGAATAAGGATATCGACACATTTTGTACTGTCTATTTTTGCTCAAAGTAGAAGGGGTGGAACAGCCGCTATGCCATATAATCATTTCCACCTTATGCCTAATGGAAGATATTATCTATAGGTAAGTAGACAAAGATAGCTATGTGTAAATTTCTGCTGTTTGTCAATCGATCAAACTTTTTTTTATTGCCCTTGTAGGCAGACGAGCGCACGGCCCACCTGATGGTGAGTGGTTACCGTCGCCCATGAACTTCAGCAATGCCAGGGGCAGAGCCAAGCCGCTGCCTAATATGCCGCATAATACTCCACAAGCCTCGTTTGAAGAAGGACATGTCATAGCACTCGGAAAACACCGTGGAGGGGAGCTCATTCCATAGCCGGATGGTACGTGGCAAAAAAGACCTCTGGAAACGCACTGTGGATGACCGCAGTAGCTCCAGGTAGTATGGATGAATTCTACTCCGGTGGCGGGCGGTGCGATAGTAAAAACGAGATGACGGTATCATCTCGAACAATTCTTCAGAGCACTCCCCATGGAACATACGTTACAAAATACAGAGGGAACCGAAGTCCCTCCGCAGACCCAGAGGTTCTAAACGATCCGTGAGAATGGGATTAATTAAATGAAAATGGGGTTAACACTAACATCACAAGTAACTTTTATCCGATTATAAAAATCTGCGCTTGCAGCAGAAATAGACGGAGCTCTGATACGAACTATTCGGGCTCGGAAAACATTTCTATAACAAATTACAAAACAATTCGAATAAAACAACAAATGTTTGTGAATAATATTATTTTTATTAATCATCTTTGTACTAAATATTCGTACAATTTCTCCTTTGGTGCAATTGAAACAACACTATATCTAATAGCATCATTTAGATGCTTTAAAACTTCTACGATTCCTTTAAAACAAGTTACTATCTCATGAATGCAATGCCCAGATATAATTTGTGCTAAAACTACGTTTCTCCATCTTTAATAGTGAAGACGATGTTAACCTATTAAGGTGTGTAATTATATTTTTTATTTAAAAGATTCCGCTACCTTTGAAATTGTGTATTCGATCACATAACTAATCAATAATTTCACGGAGACAGCTGCGGCTGCAAAAGCCTTAATTTAAAATTTACCAACGAAACAAAAAATGTAATTCAACTCATTTGGAATTGTATAAATAAATATTAAGTGGCGTTCTTTTAACCAAATATTATTGAATACTAATTATTTTGTTGTGTAATTTAAAGTTGAACATTCAATCAATCATATTGCTCAAATATTGACGAGTAGCACGCTAGTCGTCCTAGGCCACGAAAACAGTACATTATTCGGAATGTCGGAAATAATATAATGACAATAAAAACAACGACATATTGTACTTTTTAAACTAATTTTTACTTATGTCTACGACTCGCAAAAATCCGAGAAAATACTGAACTTCGATGAGCTTGAGTGAACACAAAAGTGAACTTCTAATTTCCTATTAACTTTTAAAATACGGTGCTAGAACTTTTCTAATGGGCATTAAGCATGACATGCACGTATAATAGTTAATAAATGGAAAAAGCTGGACGCTGTGTGATTGAAGCGCGTCTTGAACACGATGAGCGTGGTGGATCTCTAGCGCTGACTGGACGGGCGGCACGTCTGTTTCTGTCATTGTTCCGCTGAACTAACACCTCGTCTAGCTCAGGGAGATGGCGACGAGGCGACAAGGCTCTTGGTGTACGAGGGGTACGCGCCGATCTGCATCGAGAGATCGGACGGTCCTCTTCCCATTCACTCTCGTAGTAATCCTGTTTACACATGATAAATGTCATAAACAATATAAGGACTATAGTGAAACATATATTGTTAGGTTAATATTATTGTTATTTTACTTATAATGAACAGGATAATTATTTTTCATTTCTGGTTTACGGTAGGGGGGGATTTGGTTCTGACCCTGGCATTGCTGAAGTCCATGGGTGACGTTAACCACTCACTATCAGGTGGGCCGTATGCTCGTCTGCCTACAATGGCAATAAAAAATAAATAAAATAAAAAACGATATTATGTTAGAGAAAATGGTATTGAACTAATTTTGCATACGTGAGCAAATAATCCAATAATACAAAAAATGCCTTGTTCGCAAGATGATTGTAAAACGAACCCATAGACACAGCCCACTGAGTTTCTCGCCGGATCTTCTCAGTGGGTCGCGTTTCCGATCCAGTGGTAGATTCTGCCAAGCACTGCTATTGCTAGGGCCATTGTTAGCAACACTCCGGTTTGAAGCCCGAGAGCTCACCTACACGCTAGGATAAAGCTGATATAGCCTCTCAAGGCAGCAAAGATAGGAAAAACTTGTTAAGACGAAAATTGATATTTAATACCGGAGATCAGTCAACGTGAACTATCATCACAGCAAATATTTTAAATTTAAAGAGGCCTACGTAATAAAAGAACTTGTTTGCTCAAACAGTTCAAATTTTTCCGGCTATAATTTTAGACTTAAAGTCGTTGTTTCAAATAAGTTTACCTAATGATTGAATAATATTTTAAATTGTTTCATTCTAAATCTTCAATTGTTTTAATTTTGGTGAAATTTTCAAGCGAAACTTAAAACGTGAAATGATTAACATAAATTTTAACTCGACATAAATATGAAATTGCAAATGTTATTAACTATGTGAACAAATTAAAACGACTGTGATTTCCAAAACTAACATCAAAGATAATGAAAATAATTAAGTAAATAATAATATAGTAAAGAATAAAATTAAATGACTCACCTTACGTTTCCGAAATGAATTTTCCTCTTTCTACATTGTGCTGGTGCATGTGTTGGGACTAACATAGGTACAGATACAAAATTATATGGTTCGGTAAACTGGTCGCATTTAAGATGAAACCTTACAGAAACGAGAATAAAACACAAATTTTATTGATGTTAAACTTGTATTAAATAATCACCGTAATACGTACGTATGTTCGAATCAATTGTTTTTTCTATTCTACAGTTAATATCTACGTTGCCAATGTAAATGGTAATTGCGAAGCGGTAAAAAATATTTTATCAAAGCTAGATAGTTCAGCGATACAAGTGACATACATTCTCAAAGGAAAATTTAGGTTACATATTGTTTTGTGACTAATTTAAACATCGAATCAATAAGTACTACCTAATACTAATTACACGTACTTCTAGAATCATAAAAAACATTAAATTCTATTAATCTGGTCAGTCCATCTCGAGCCCCTTCTGTTCTTGCCACAGCTATCGAACGAAAAAAAGTTTTCGCGAACTTATTCAACGCTATGAGCTTTAAAGCTGTAAAAAAGCTAACTTTGATCAACTAACTTAATACCAATAACTACTGTATTTCATTGCTCGCGTGTGGGCTGTGTCGAGAACTCTGTTCAAACGGCTACTACCCAAATAATAAAACCTAGGTACAATACAAAGGTGCAATTTTACGCTATTCGGGATTAACGAAAAATTAAAAAAAGAACTTCTCTAATAATATAATAATATGCATAAGATAATAACGTACAATTAAATATTAGTTTCAAGCACGTTACAATTTGAAATTGCTATTAATAGTCTGTGTCTCTACTTTCGTCTATTACTGTTGCTGTTTACATTGATAAGGTGCAAATCGCATTTACTGCCTCTGTACAAAGTAAAACACAATGAAAATTAAAGGAGACTATAATTTGTCGACAAGTTATATAGCTTTGTTTATATAATCCAATAAAATACAATCTTTCTAACATACAGTAAATTGGCACTCTTGTAATATAATGGTTAGGTAATATTGACAGTAAAAATAAAGTAATTAGTACATATTAACTAAAGTAATCAAAGATCAAACAGTTTTTACCTTCCTTACAAAATCCAAACTTATTTAGACGCTAAACGGATATGCACAAATTATTGACGTTATCTATTTTAATTTTGACAAAAATCATTCATTCACCAAAAACACTAATTAATATCATTACATTCAACAAACAGAAAACATACACAATGGACTCTAATTGAATATTAGACTGTTAGTACATTTTATGACTAAAATATAGATGAAAATGCGAAGTCTTTCTGGTAGTGATTTAACTCTGCTCTTCGTTCAAGTTTTCGTCCGATTTCGGCAGCTGTGAAGCTGGTGGAAGTGGACTCTAAAGCAGAAAAAATAAATTAACAATCACCACGTAAACAACATTATAAAACAAAACGTATTCAAAATCAAACCAAAAACAAAACGCTATGTTAGACACAAGAGCAATAGAAAACCAAACAGAAAAACAAAAATGAATGTATGAGTTGCAAGTTTCGCAGAGAAAAACGAATACCTCTTGAATCAATAAAACTTGTACAAATATTCTGGCTGAAACAAAAATGACGAGTGTATGAGGTCGTGATTAACCACCACCAAGAAAACAAAGAAAGCAAAAAACGCCATGATCAAAATGCCTGCTTCCGGCTACAAGCCCTCACCTCCTGCCGTGAGTGACTGCGACTTGTTGGCAATGGCGACTGCCCAGTCATCTGCTTGATATACTCTTTATCTTCAAATATTTTGATGTCTCCACCTCCTGGCTTATGTTTTACGTTATCCAAGGAACCCACTTTACTTTGAGCTTTGAATTCCAATTTTTGGTTTTCGATCTGTTTAGAAAGTTGGTGTGCAGATGTATAAAATTCTATATGACACAAGGTGCAACAGGAGGAAATAGAATCCGATCGGCGTATTACAAAATTCCTATGTAACTTGAAATATTGCGAATTGGGACATAGGGAGGTGATGACTCTATTTAAATAATTTTTTTTTTACACGGTAAATACGGTAAGTTTGTTTCAACAACATATTTGTTTTTAATTTTGGGTGATATATACATAATTCAATTGCAATTCATCCGAAGATTTTATATTCTTGTCAATAATAATCGTCACCGATGTGTTTTACACGTAACAATAATAACGAACTGCCTATCAAAGGAATTAAAAGTGATTTTTTTCAACTAAAATCATTTCAGTGGTGCCGTGTAAAAGGTCCAATAAAACAGTGAGTTGTAATGTTGTATTGCTGAAACTTATGTGGTGAGCTGTCGTGTACGATTCGTAGCTTTTTAGTAGAAAAGTTTTTATTGATTTCGTAGCGTGCAAAACGATGTATGTGTTTGTGTGCGCGTGCCGACTGGATATACATTCACATAATTTAATTCAGATAATATTAAGTTTATGTGCCAATTTTCAGTGTCAAATTAAAAAAAAAATTAAACTTATTGCCCGTTTTAACAAGCTTATTTATTATTTAAAATTTCAATAGTTTATTTATGTTTATTATTTTTATTTCAAATTTACGAGTGAGTTATTTTATTTTATCTAAATATTGTGTCAGTGAACTTTTGGCAAAATTAGACAGCCACATAACCTATCATTCCATATAAACAAACATTTGTTCATGCCATTTGTCGATCAGGCACAAAGTTGCGCCCAACTGACCTTTCTCCATAAAGAATGATAGGAAAAATGTTTATGAGACGCTCTCCATCTTGGCAACGCCCACTTAACAAACTAGAAACAACAACATCATTTTAGGAATAATCCCCGTAATGTACCTTTAATTAAATTTTTTATATCAACATCTGACGTCAATCCGTTGGTTGTATTAACATACGTATTAATATTTTCACGGAAGCACTTATTTCCGTGCCATAATCTATACTTCAAACTAATATTATAAAGAGGAAAGATTTGTTTGTTTGTTTGTATTGAATAGGCTCCGAAACTACTGAACCGATTTGAAAAATTCTTTCACTGTTTGGAAGTTACACTATTCCCGAGTGACATGAGCTATAATCTTTTTTGAAAAAAATTAGGGATTCTTACTCCAATAATGTAACCCAATCTGTAAAAAAATTACCTAAAATATGCTTTACATCGCGTGCTCTGCGAAAACTATTGATGATAGAATAAAATAATGTACTACGACTTTGTAGAACACATTATTATTTACAAAAAGTGTCTTGACAGCATATATCTAACTATTATAGTTATGCCGCAATAAGTGTTCTTTTATTTTAAAAATAAAAGAACGTCAAATATCGTTGAAATTTTTGTGTTGAAAGACCCGAGTGGGGCCGTTGCGGGCCGCTAGTATTAGAATAAAATTGTGCAATAAGTAGTCGATGTGTTACACAAACTTCATATAAATATTACTCACTGTTCTCGTTCCGTTCTTATCCAATGACGTCTAAAAGACAACAGCGTTCAATCGTTTTACTATTAATTAATCTACGAGTATGTTATTGATTGTTGATATATATACAAATCTTTTAACCGTAAAATTGGCCAGCGTGCGACACATTGAAAGTGAAAATAACTTCTAAAGCTACAATTGTCTAATATACATATTATGTCCAATTACTAGGCCGACATACTCGTGTGGCGTTGGTAATATCTATCTGATACATAAAGCTTAATTTAAAGATTACTTATAGCTTTTAAATTTAAACAAATACTCACTGTATTTTTTTCAATAAAGTAACGTGGGTGAATGTTAATAAATTTTTATGTCTTTTTTTATCGAATTAATCCTATGTAATTACCTTGATTGCACCACCGCCGGGCTTGTGGGTGATGTTAGCTGTGGAGCCAACTTTCGATTTTGCCTTTTCGCCGAAATCTAGCTTGACTGTTTCGATCTTCTTATCACCGCCGCCGGGCTTGTAAGAAGCGTTCTGGAGAGAACCGACTTTCGATTTTGCGTTCCACTCCAGTTTATTAGTGACAATCTGAATTTCATTAAACGTATATTTAAAAAGTATATAAATATCATGTGTTGAAATCTTTAGTGTACCTATTATGAGTTGATTTACTCCAATTTGATAGTTTTTTTCTTCTATGCTATGTATCACATGTGACTAGACACATCCTTAAATCTGTCTAAAAATACAACCATTCGTTGAAACAATTTCTCATTTTTTATTGTCTCATTGAAATAGTAGTCACGGACTGTGACTGCTGGTCAATAAGGTCAGGCTCTGACTCATGGCTATTTAAAAAAAAAGATATTCTGTGCGTGGGTGCATTCATAGTTGTATCTTAAGTAGGTTTTCAATACCGATGACACAGGCGAAAATCATAGCTGGGTCTATTGAATGAGAAAGTTTATTAGTTTATAACGTATAATAACGCACGTTAATAAAGTGCCTACGTACTGAAATGTTCATGCTTAAAGCAGCGGTTTGAATCTCGTAGGAAATTTTCCTATGAATGGTAGAAATGTCTAATGGAAATACGTATTTCACGATATGTTCACTATGAAGAAATAATGTAGATTCCGATATTCAAGTCTTCTATGGGATATAGTAGCAAGAAAAATTCAAGTAGACTGTCAGCTGCGTATCATGAACGATAAATAACCTAGAGCCAAATGCCAAATTCTGCATCTTGGTAACTTCGATAGAAGTGATGGTAACTTCGATAGAAGTGCCCTATGCCAAATCTGGCATAGGGCACTTCTATCGAAGTTACCATCTTACGGAATCCCCGAGGGTCTCTGCAAGTGGATCGCTAGCTTTTTGGATGGGCGGAGCATCACGGTCGTTGTAGACGGTGACTGTTCTGATACCATGACCATTAACGCTGGCGTTCCACAAGGTTCGGTGCTCTCCCCCACGCTTTTCATCCTGTATATCAATGACATGCTGTCTATTGATGGCATGCATTGCTATGCAGATGACAGCACGGGGGATGCGCGATATATCGGCCATCAGAGTCTCTCTCGGAGCGTGGTGCAAGAGAGACGATCAAAACTTGTGTCTGAAGTGGAGAACTCTCTGGGGCGAGTCTCCGAATGGGGTGAATTGAACTTGGTTCAATTCAACCCGATAAAGACACAAGTTTGCGCGTTCACTGCGAAGAAGGACCCCTTTGTCATGGCGCCGCAATTCCAAGGAGTATCCCTGCAACCTTCCGAGAGTATCGGGATACTTGGGGTCGACATTTCGAGCGATGTCCAGTTTCGGAGTCATTTGGAAGGCAAAGCCAAGTTGGCGTCCAAAATGCTGGGAGTCCTCAACAGAGCGAAGCGGTACTTCACGCCTGGACAAAGACTTTTGCTTTATAAAGCACAAGTCCGGCCTCGCATGGAGTACTGCTCCCATCTCTGGGCCGGGGCTCCCAAATACCAGCTTCTTCCATTTGACTCCATACAGAGGAGGGCCGTTCGGATTGTCGATAATCCCATTCTCTCGGATCGTTTGGAGCCTCTGGGTCTGCGGAGGGACTTCGGTTCCCTCTGTATTTTGTACCGTATGTTCCATGGGGAGTGCTCTGAGGAATTGTTCGAGATGATACCAGCATCTCGTTTTTACCATCGCACCGCCCGCCACCGGAGTAGAGTTCATCCATACTACCTGGAGCCACTGCGGTCATCCACAGTGCGTTTCCAGAGATCTTTTTTGCCACGTACCATCCGGCTATGGAATGAGCTCCCCTCCGCGGTGTTTCCCGAGCGCTATGACATGTCCTTCTTCAAACGAGGCTTGTGGAGAGTATTAAGCGGTAGGCAGCGGCTTGGCTCTGCCCCTGGCATTGCTGAAGTCCATGGGCGACGGTAACCACTCACCATCAGGTGGGCCGTATGCCCGTCTGCCTACAAAGGCAATAAAAAAAAAAAAAAAAAAAAAAAAAAAAAATTGTCTAATTAAATTCAATAACATTTAACAAAAATTAGTACCCACACCACTAACCATTATCATACATGAAATCATTTCAAGATAAAGTTTGATTTTGCATTGACAACGATACTTTATCATATCTACTGCACTATCATTAGTTTGAATATTTTACTTGTACTCAATTTGTTCAGTTAAACAAAATAAGTGAAAATTACGCTTTAAAGTACCTTACCTTTTTAGCTCCTCCACTAGGAGTGTACGCTTCGTTTTTAGCCGCAATTTTAGGTGTGATGTTTCCGAACTCCAGTTTTCTGTTCTCTATTTTAACCTTACCACCCCCGGGTTTGTATGTGGCGTTATCCAGAGATCCTATCTTAGATTTCACGGCTTTTAAATTTGGCGACGGTGCATTCCCAACTTGAACTTTATTCATCGGTACTTCTGTAATTTTTAAGAGTTATAAAATTTTAAGGACAAGCCGCAGTTTCTAATCTTTTCAGTGAGATCTGCTCTTGAGGACCCAAACGCTGTTACAAAACTCACGGGCGCGGTGTGTTAAGATAAACAGTAGAAGGCAGAGGAATAACATTAGATCCGAAAAGTCTAAGTGTCCGAATAATATTTAGCCAGCCTCTAATAGAGTAAGATTTGTATATCGAGAACTTAGAAGCCCGCATTTAAGTAAATTTAAAGTCCTAAAAATAATTTTAAGTCATAAGATTTTTAGTCTTTTATCGCATTGCCCATTTAGTCTTACGTGTAGTATTTTCTTCGATTTTCGTGAGTTGTTAACATAATAAACATTTTCGCGATTTACTTTACCAAGAAAGCTGTAAAATGTTTCATTATGTATACAAGGAACACATTTGCTTACTTTTCTTTTCGGTCGGGGTAGGAATTTCTGGAGTTTTGGCTGTTGCACTCTTGCTCGATGATCGAGAAAGGCTCGCCCTAAGACTGTTACTCGATTTTTCTTTTGTTGGCGTTTTGTTTACGATTTTCTTGTTCGGAGAGCTAGGAGATCCATTGAGATCCTAGCAAACAAAATACAGGTCGTTAGCATAAATCGAACATGATAAAGATTTTGAGTATCATTTAATTACTCACATTTCCTTGTGTAGATTCGTCAACTCCGCTGTCGTTATCTCCCTCTGTGAAACAAATTGTAATTTGTAGAACAGAAAACTGCCTAATCATAAAAACTAACAGTAAATATGATTTATTGCCTAAATAGGTTTGGCTCACCTATAAGTCATCTTTAATATTAAAATAAGTTATGATCTTATAATATTACCTTTTTGACGCGATTTGGGAGCCGATGCGGACTTATGAGGTGTTGATTTCTTAGAATCAGAACTTATAATAGACGTGTTAAGCTCATTTGGTTTTTGCGTCGCAGATTTCGGTGGTTTTGTATCGGGGATTGGTGACTTAGGTGCAACTTTAGTCGGAGTGGCAACAAATTTAGGGTCGTTATTCACTTGAGATTTAATATGCGTCGGTGTTACGGCTTTAATTTCATTCTTCGGAGTTTTTGGACGTTGCGGCTCCGGTGTAATAGTTTGCGATTTATTATTTGAAATAGAGCTTTGTGATAAATTTTGCTTAGGCTCAGGAGAATCATCACTGCGAGTCAGTGAAGGCGAACGTTCAGATAAATCTTCTTTAGCTGGAGCTTTAGCAGAATCAATATAAATATTTCCACTAGTTCCATTATTTTGTGAAATCACATCATCGTCATCATCTACCTTCTTACTGGCTGTTGCAGCAGGAAAACACCCAATAAAAGAATCGGTCATTTTCGTTGCTGACAACCGCGATTCAGGACGTTCAACAACATCTTTAACTCCATCATTTGAGGACACAGATCGAATACTTTCCTTTGAACTACGCAAATTGTCCTTACTATCTTTTCCCTCTTGTATCAGCCCAAGACCCGGACTTCGAATGCCAAACTCATCTAATCTACCACCTATGGCGCTAACCGATTTGCGTCGATCATCTTCTGCTTTAAGCGGGCTTGGTGCACCAGGAGCGGCAGCAATACTATAACTTCGTCCTTTGGCCATCCCCGGCGCGTCAAAGCTATCTGCTTCTTTTCCGTTTTGATTTTCATTTTTGTTATCGCTTTGGTTCTCCAGGTTGACGACTTTATTCTTATTTATTCCGAAAGATTCAGCTCCCTGCGAGGGTTGCCGAGGAAGTTGCCCAGGCCCTGGCGGTGCTCCGTTTTTGTTTGCCCCGTTGGGCAATTGGGTAGCTAGAGGCCTGTTGCCGTCGGGCGTTATTATATTCCCACTGACAGGTTGTCTGGGACCAAATTGCAGACTGTTCGGAGGAGGAGCTCTAAGTGTTGGTGACTGAGGTCTTGGACCTGGTTGAGATACAATAGATTGTGGTCCAAAAGGCCGCAATGGTGGAGGCCTTACTTGTTGAGGTCCCAGTGGACTTGAAGGAACCGAATTCCTAGGTGCTGACACGCCACTTCTAGGTCCGAGTGACTGTGGCCCAGTTATTAAGCCACCGGGCTGAAAATTAGGTCTAAGTTGACCTTGCTGAGGAGCTGCAGGTCTCGCTTGTGGTGCAAAATTAGGCCGAGAATCTGTCCTTATAAGTGGGCGGATCGGAGGTGGTTGCGCCGATCCCGATAAATCGGAACCGACTGTCCCAGTGGTAGCGCCTTGGAGAACGCTCTCTGCCGTTGCCTTAGACAATAATTTTTATTATTTAAAAAACAGTACAAGAATAGACCTAAAGAACAACTACTTATAATAAAATACGATAAACATAGTTAAAAACTATAAAAAAAACTTCGCTGTCACAGCAAGCCAAACTAAAAATTAAATCCTCTGTACATTTGTAAATTTATCAATTACGAGGGCTTTTATATGAAAATTACAATGATAGGTAATTCCATGTTAAATTCCGGTGTAATTTCCTGAAAAAATCAAAGCGATTGTTGTTGCAATGCTTTAAACCAAAGATAAAATAATAATATTGAGACCTGTAATAGAGCGGTAACAACATGAACGTTAGCAATTCTTCAAAAAGTTATAAATGATAATTTATTTCACAAAAATGGTATTAAAACCCTATTTTCATTAGGACCATTGCGTATGTAGGTATGACCTACTTTCGTGACCAAACTATAATAGAAATTTATTCATCGTTATTACTTATTTTAAAATTATAAATTTTTATTGCATTATACCTAGTTATAATATGGGTCAGTGACGCATGAAGACGCACATTACTAATAGGAGAGAAAGTCTGTTTCTGATTTATATATTATTTATTTTATGTTAGATTCGAACGAACAAGATATGCTGATTTGAACGTACCATTAAGATTTATAAACTGTCACAAAGTCGGCCATTAGGTCAGTTAGTCAGTTAGCTATTGTCGGCGGAAAAAATAGACACTCCTCACCATAAAACAAAAGAACGTTAGTTTCGGAAGGAAATATTTCACAGTGATTGTGAAGCATCGTGACAATGGCATATCTAAAAGCCACTTTGTGGTAATAAATTATTAACCACACCGTTTGTTGTTGTTACTTTAAAAATAAAGATTATTAAAGACAAAAACAAATATGGGCTTGTAAATTTTTAAGTACAAATTCCTCAAAATTACCTTATCACACATTAAACCTTATGGCGGATTACTAAACATCAGATTTCATTAGTAAAATAACTATTTCATATACTATGGAATACTATTATAATGAAAATTTCAATAACATATTATAAGGTATTTAGGTTTTTTTATCGCATAGTCTGGTGAACGAGCTCATATCATGTTAAGTGGTTAACAGTGTGAATTGACATTCAAACGTGAATATTATAACTTTGAAACATAAAGTCTAGGTCTAACGCCCATCAAAAGGTCTGGAACTAGCGTCATAACAGTCTAAACAGCCATCATCAGAATTTAGTCGAGCTTTTTTTTTATACCTACCTATGGTGATAGCCTTGAGAGGCTATATCAGCGTTACCGGACGAGTAGATGAGGACCCTACGGACCCTAGCAAGAGCAGTGCTTCGCAGAATCTACCACTGGGTGCGGAACGCGAGACTCGAAGACGCGAACTGAGAAGATCCGGCGAGAAACTCAGTGGGCTTTGTCTGTGGGTTAGTTTACTCGCCGAGCCCTTCGTCGCTACTGATGGGTTCGACGAGTACGATAACCGGTGCTTGTGGTATCTACCTAAAAGCACTTATAATGGATCGGGAGGATCCAAAGCGACGTGTTTTGGGCGACGTCGACTGTTTACCATTCGGTCCGCAGGATCGGGAATGTAGTTACCGACGGCCACGATGTGGGGGTTCTAGTGTCGTGCCGCTTTCGCGAAATGGCGCATTGATGTCGACTGCATATACATAATGATGTACTATAGGTCCAGGTCGTCTCGACCTACTATTGCGACTTATTCACAGTGATGTTCTGATCTATCTTAATCCATTAATTCCTAGCCTAGTCTCAAAGACAATTAAAGTCAGACAGGCGGTTAATCTTAAAACATAAAGAAATGGATTTAACAAAACCGTCGGCTAGTCATAGGTACTAGGTTACTAGAACTGTTCAAACTTGTAGGTAGCATCCAATAGGTATCAGATATATTGACTGTGGTCGTTAAAAGCATCGTAAAATGGTGCCTGTTCAGGGTTTTATTGTAACTGAAATAGGACCGTGACACGCAAGCAGGCTTTTTTAGTGTAGCACGTTTCCATAAAGTCTTGAAACTTTAAAAAAAATCCCTGTTTAATGTCATGTATAAATTAGTATTCGTCGTAGCATTGTTTTCTGGCAAGATTTAGATTTCAATTTGGCGTCAACCCTAATATTTAAATTTAGCAGACTCTTCATTGTTTTCTACTGACATTTTATTGGAATTGTATGCACTGCAATGCCTTGAATATTTGCACTGAAGTTGTTCAAAAGTTTGAAGAGTATTCCTGTAACTATAACACATGTAGGTATTCAGTAAGCTTTGTACTAACTTGTTTTGAGTGAGGTAAACGTCCTCATCGCGTGATTCTAGTTTTACCGATCTAAGAAATTTACATGAAAAGGCTGTAGCATTTCGCCAGCCTTTATAGATAACCGATCATCAATACAATAACATTGCATGTCTGGCTGTTTAATGTCTTCGAGATTCGTGCATTTGACTAACATGGTACAGAAATCTGCAATCCGTCTAGCACTGACATAAATTGTGCATATTTATGATAGATTTATCAATAATAAAATTTATTTTGGCATTCTTTAACCATCGGTATGACTTTCTAAGGGTTGTTTAATCGATTATTTAAAAAATAAACATACTCAAAAGCTTCTCTTGTACGCTTATTACGGTTTTCAGACTTTCATGGCCATGATTTACACAACTATGATAGCCGGCTTCAAACTTACAATGAAAGTCGAAAATTGAGTTCTTTCAGCCGGAAATTTAAGCAATTACCGTGAAAAGCTTTGAAAAACGATATATAAGTTCTAAACAATTTGACGAGTGATTTTTGTGCAGCTTTTTACGTTTTGCGGTCGTGCCAAGGTGACATCGATCGTAAGTCCTCTTACCCGGCTTGCATTATTTGCCTCCATATTTCTCGGGGCTTAACTTAAATTTTAAAATCTTCAAACAGTACAGTTTAACCAAAAATTCTTCACACGAGGCAATTTCTTATCTTGAAACTATAAAAAATAGTAAAAAGATTTGATCAGTCATATAACAACAAGTAGACTACGTTTTGCCATAGTGGTGCTTCGGTGTAAGGCTTCTATTTCTTGTGAGACAATGGTCCGATTCTGCGTGAACTACAATACTTGCGTCTGCTGTGATACAATGAAACAATTACGACTATCAAGCGAAACATTTGGTAAAACCGTCTGACAAACGGTAAATTCCAACTGATTTAAACAATGACCTTAATTACTTCCGAATACGAATTTTCAAGACGCGGTCGTGGCTCGGTGCTTCCTATTAAAAGGTATATATTCAAATCTCTGTACAAGACCTGGAGATGTATTTATGTCGGTGATCTTTTACATATATATTTTTTTCATACCTACATATATGGTGGCCTAAGGGGCTATTTCAGCTACGCGCGGATGGGTAGTTGAGCTCACGGGCTCAACCTGAGAGAATTTAAGCGCGATCGGATAAGTAATTATGGGCGGCCACGATAAGAGGGCTTTGGTGTCGCGCCGCTTTGTCGAAGTAGTGTTCTGACACTTCGTTAAGATACTTACGTATCAGTACTAATTTTAGGTCGTCGTGTAAATCTACATTCCTCACATACCACGGTGCTCCGACGGCTATCCTGCAGAAACAAGATTGGATGACCTGGAGAGAGTTATTGTGTGTACGGGCCGCGTGAGCTAACATTACACTTGCATAAGTCAAGACAGAACGTATGCAAGTTTTGTACAGTGTCACCTTGTTGTAAAGAGACAATTTACTTCGCTTGCAATTCATGGGGTAGAGTCGACCGAGTAGGAACGCGGCTAGGTCGCGTATTACATATATACAATCTATATCAAAGTACTGAACACGGCAAACCCTGTCAACACATGCGAATGGTCAGTTTTGTTTTTCAAATTACAATACAAATCAGTTTCAAAATCAGAAATCAATAATCTTCTAAACGTTTAAAAGTGATATCAATATCTTAGTATAACAGATCGAGGCGCTGCCATTTCTAATTCCCAACAAGATGTCCCCGTGGCTGGAATAACCAATGTGTAATAAAAACATGAACCCGCAAACATTATCACACACACAGTGCGAGAGCGGCACAGCCAAAGCCAGTTAAAGACGATTGGTAAGTGAAAACTGGGTGTCATGGACAATCATGCAAATAAATAAAATCGAAGTGACAGTTTGTAATATTAAAATAGCTTTTTACTCCATGCATATGATTGTATATATGGTATATGGTATACATATACCGAAATAACATTTTTTACAATTTTGTTTGTCTGTTTGTTCTGGCTAATCTCTGGAACGGCTGGACCGTTGACGGGACTTCCACTGGCAGACGACTGATGCAATAAGAAGTATCATAAGCTACTTCTTTTTTTTTTAAATCTAAAATTATTATAATATAAAGTCATGTTTTGTTAAATTCCACGCGAATGTAGTTGCGGGTACAGCTAGTTTAATATAAAACAATTGAGTTACCACACTTCAAATGTAAACACGAATGAAACAACCAAACAAGTCCACAATTATACTATAAAATTTGAACCCACGCTAACAAAAATTAAAACACATCAGACTAATCTTAAGTCACATTGAGATATATTAAATCTGCTTACTTAAGAACTCAGAATAATCCTTACAATTAAGATTATAGGCATAAAATTATATTTCCAAGATTACGTCAATCACTTCTTCTTTGTGTTTACATGTAACGCAATAAGTACCTAATAAGTAATGGGTATGTCCGAATGTTTTTTTAATTCAAAGTGCCTGTTGATAAATTTAATGATCCTTTCAAAAAATAAATTAATCTGCATGATACAACCATATCACTTTTTTTTTCATTAAGCGTTTAGACACTTGAAGACTACAGCAGCCCATTTATTGTATTTATGTGCTCTTGTTTCCTAGCAGAAAAATATATTTATAGAATCTCTCTCTGTCCTTCTCTATCTCTCCTCCTCTCCCTCTCACATACGCACAAATACATTCAATCACCTGGTATAATATGTAACTATTAAAATACATATCAATTTACCAAAAAAAAACATGTACGTCAGCAATTACAATGACAGAAAATTCCTTTGTTCGTTCTTTAAAAACATCAACAGAGGTGCTAGCACGTGCAAAATGCAGAAGGAAATTCCAGAATGTACTGCGAGAACAGCTAAAGAGCCAAAGAATCGTAAGAGTCGCTATTTTGTAACGCGATTGCAAGTCGTCACATTCAGACTTTTCGCATAGAGATTAAAATGTGAGAACAGAGATTGCGTTATGGAATTTATTACATAGTATAAAACAAAGTCGCTTTTTCTGTCCCTAAATCCCAATGTATGCTTAAATCTTTAAAACTACGCAATTGATTCTGATGCGGTTTTTTTTAATAGATAGAGTGATTGAAGAGGAAGGTTTATATGTATAATAACATCCATTAAATAGTGGAGAAATCAATAATAAATTACAGTTTCCGAAGCGAAGCGAGGGCCGACGCCCATGGACTTCAGCAATGCCAGGAGTATGAATACTATTTGGCTGACAGCCTTAACCAAGCTGCACGATCAGCATTCCCGAGCTCTCCTGTTTCGTCCGCCCCACGAACGGCCAGTCTTCTACCATCTCTCGACCTGAGCGGTCGAGTCTTCTACCATCTCTCGACCTGAGCGGTCAGTCTTCTGCCAACTCCCGACCTGAGCGGTCAAGTCTTCTCCTATCCTCCGAACTGAGCGGTCGACTCCCAATTCCAAATCAGTGCGCGTGACTATCATCGGGCCTCCATAACTTTGTATTTCATTTTTTAAAATCTACGTAGCGAAACCCGCTATAACAGCTCCATCACCTTGGAAAGCCTGTCATTGTAGTAGTCACTGTAGTAGTGACAGGTGATATCAGAACAAAAACTAGATATTTTATGAATCGCACAGGGTGCTCGGGGAAAAACGAAGAGACAGTTGCTTCTGAATTGTATTTTCTACGAATTTGGATAGAATCGGGCGAATGGAAAAAGTACAGTATTTTTATTGGATAAAAGGGTTGGGAACTTTGGGTAGCGGGAGGATGTGAGCTTTCTTACAAAGTGATGTGAGGTTACTGGAATCAAGGGAAGGAAAATGATTAGAGCAAATTACACCAAAGAAAATGAAAAAAATGCGACTTTGATAAGTTTTATGAATATTTTGATATGAATGTTCGCTCGGCATCTGGTGTAAAAGATAAAATATTAAATAACAACTGAGAAAGACGTCAAAGTGGAATCTTTGACGCCGCTATTCAGTATGACTGTTAACTTAGCAAACTGAGCATTGAGATTATTGACAGTCATCATGAATGCATTATTATTGTCACCAAGCTTACCGACACCAAGAGATCTAAGAAATCGTTGTACTTTTGCCGATTCAAGATTATTCATGGGGTAATAAATGCGGCATTTCTATTTTGCAATTCGCCCCACTTCGATAAAGCAGCACGACACGAGAACCTTCTCATCGTGGCCGCCGGTAACTACATTCCCGATCCTGCGGACAGAATGGAAAGCAGTCGACATCGCCCAAAACACGTCATCTCGGATCCCCCCGATCCACTAACGGTGCTTCTAGGTACTTCAAGCACCGGTCACCGTTCTCGTCGAACCCGTCGCTTGCGACGAAGGGCTCGACGAGTAAATTAACTCTCAGACACAGCCCACTGAGTTTCTCGCCGGATCTTCTCAGTGGGTCGCGATTCCGATCCGGTGGTAGATTCTGCGAAGCACGACTCTTGCTAGGGTTCGTGTTAGNAGCACCGGTCACCGTTCTCGTCGAACCCGTCGCTTGCGACGAAGGGCTCGACGAGTAAATTAACTCTCAGACACAGCCCACTGAGTTTCTCGCCGGATCTTCTCAGTGGGTCGCGATTCCGATCCGGTGGTAGATTCTGCGAAGCACGACTCTTGCTAGGGTTCGTGTTAGCATCGTCGTCAGGTTTGAGCCCCGTGAGCTCATCTACTAGTTAAGGTTCCGCTGGAATAGCCTCTCTAGGCTACCAGTTTAGGTAGGATAAAAAAAAAAGCAATTCGGCGACTTAAGAATTCAGTTACAAAAAACGTGTTGTCCACTACAAAAAAATTCCTATAAGATCTATCTATTCTAGGCGGTATGCTAGAAATTTACAGCTAGAATCGATTCAAGTTAAGTGCAAATCACAAATAGTTAACGTTAACAAATTACATGTTTTCCCAGAAAACATGTCAAGAACGAAACGTAAACAAGGAAATAATTTCACCATCTATACGACGTCAAACCTATTTATTTGTTTATATTAATATTCTGAAAGATCTGGATTCTTGTTATTTCCTACTCAGTTTATATTTAGTTGATTAGTACGTACTATAGTTTCAGTCCTTTATGTGCGTACAGATTTCGATGAATACAGGTCACAATTCGAACGCGTATAGTTCACAAGAAAATATTTGGCAGACACCGCGGCTCTCTCGGGAGTCACGCACTTTAGGAGGGTGAGCTCGTAGTAAAATAATTTATGTATTCCAACGGCTCTATAAAATGAGCGTTCGTGCTTTAAACATTTTTATAGAGAAGAAATCAAACCCGCAAAATTATAATTTGCGCAATTACTGGTGGTAGAACCTCTTGTGAGTTCGCATGGGTAGGTACCACCGCCCTGCCTATTTCTGCCGTGAAGCAGTAATGCGCTTCGACTTGAAGGGTTGGGCAGCCGTTGTAACTATACTGAGACCTTAGAACTTATATCTCAAGGTGGGTGGCGCATTTACGCTGCAGATGTCTATGTGCTCCAATAACCATTAGCACCAGGTGATCTGTGAGCTCGTCCACCTATCTAAGCAATAAAAAAAATAAAAAATAAAAATTTTCAGCAATAACTACTGTTCATCTCTTTTAGTTAATAGTATTTTAAAAGACGTAATGAAAATGTGACTGTGATCTTCCTGTATTATAGACAGTTCAAGATCTAAATTACTTCTAAAAAACTGTCTGGC